ATCTTCACCTTAATTGTCACCAGGAACAGATTTTACTATTGAAAATCCGTATTTGGTTACCTTTGCTATCGATAGCCGTTAATCATCAAGTAACAGTGAGCGGGCATTTTGGGACTATCTTAGTCGTGTCGTATGGTCCACAACACATTAATTCTTCCGCTATGGGCAACTTCAAAACTCCTCGTATGAATCCTGCCTGTCATTAGCTAACTCCTTCGGTTTTCGTCTACTCCGTCATAATCATTCCATTCTATTACACGTAATCTGCTCCACTTTGTCACTTAGTTCGAGCTTTCTTTTTGCTTATCCTTTGCATTTTCATGGCAATTTTTTGATCTTAATCCAGATTAGGTTTAGGTCTCTTTGCTATGAGCAATAGCTTCCCGTAAAGCATAGTGCTAGTTTAGAAAACGGATAGAGTTATGATAAAGAAGTTCCATCATAACATGTTTTAGTACATTTAAAAGCTAAGGGAACAGCAGAAGCAACACAACTACTAAGTACACAACCACAGCAGTAACAACAAAAGTATCTGCGTCAGCGCCTATTAGAGATCTGGTTGTAGCTGGCCGTGTTCGCGAATAAGCTGTTTGAAAGACCACTGAATAGCGCTTGCCATTTGCGTAAGCAATACCGATCCAGTTCGCTCCTCTAACGTCCAACTCGATTCTAAATCCTCATTTCTTCCCGCACTCCATGTTCTCATAGGCTCTCTATCGGCTATTCCGGTTCATTAATTATAGAGATGAAGCTGTTTGCATGCATTCCAAAAACATTCTTTTTTATGACTCGAAAAACATTATCAATATTTTGCTAATCATTGCTGGCAGTATCACATAACCGAACTTGTGACATAGGGATATCCTCTTTGATTCTCACCTTCAGTCATAATTGGCTAAGCTTATCATATTTGTTGCTGTGAGGAAGATTCAGTGACAAAGTTAAAAGGTGGTACAAACTGCAAGCTTTATTTTTATTAGTACTGATATTTATAATAGATACTATTGGTTGCAAATCGAGTGCTTGTTCTTGGAAGTCGAGTAAAGCAGTATTAGTGCGTTCCTATGTCTTCACCATGGGCGCAGATTGGCCAATGTTGCAACTGTGGGAGCTTTATTTCCTTCCATTTCGGATTCTTCCATGGCTATCTAATAAGCCGATATTAGTGGATCAAAAAGCATGACTGTCTAAAAGAATTTTTTTCTTATTTCTTTCAAAATTGATGGCGTAAATTCTTTTAGGCAAGGAAAACTGTGACAGCTACATCATTTTAACAACCTGCACTTCACGAACAATTCTCCGTTGCTTATGTCACTTTTTGTTGTGTTAGAAATCATAACCTACATTCTCCCCACTTCATATTTATTCATTCGTTCTATTTGGCGCAATAAATCTACATCTTTCCATTTTTCTTCAGATATCATCGTGGACGTCGTATGACTTGCATAGGAAACTACTGAATGTATGAATCTGATGATTTGTTGTTTCGTGCTAATTTTGTTAGCAACATTAACTTTGGTAGGTTTTTTTCCACAACACAAGCTTAGTAATGACGCATTCGACGAAATCTCTTGTTTGAAAAAAAACCAGAATGAAACGAGTGATCAGATCAAACTAATTAATAAATCGGTTTTTATCACTGTGGTACTTCATATAACTACTTTTACATTGTAAGTTGACACATCTACCGTGAGGATCCTAGCACTTCTTGCATTCAATTCGTTTTCCTTGCATCCATCGTCCACAAAAGTCTTCGAACATTGCGCGTGTTGTTTCGGCTGCCACTTGTGAATTTCCTGTTCTCATGAATGTTGAATGTCGTGGAACGCTGGTCGAGTCTACTCTCCTTGCAGTCTTGTTGTGGATGGCGGTGCTGGGGCGTACGCGTTTGTACTGAGGAAGATTCAAGGGAGTTGAGCTGGCGCCTTTGCTTCTTGATTGAGAACACCAACCACTGCGCTACCATCCTCCTCACTACGTATTTTGTATATACGTATCTTAAATAACGTATATATATTCATAGTACACATAAACATCGATACTTTAACACTTCAATCCTCAAACAAGTTAGAATTTCGTTTTTTCAATTTGGATGAAAATACAGTTACGGCAAGAAAAAGAAGAACAAAAGTCTTCAAAACCGTTTTACGGAATTCCGTTATGATACTATAATTCTCTACTACTGACATCACCAAACTGTACTTTTCAAATTTAAAACTATACCTATTGTGATATCAAATATAATTGGCATGTATACAGATGACAAAGAAACCACTTATCCGTGAAAAATTCCTCCTCATTTAAGGTAATATGTTTCCATCAAATATTATGTTAGAAAATGTATAACTTTCTATTCAGCCTATTATTTTTTCATAGCAGGGTACTATGTGAAATATAACCGCATTGACGCTGGTATATTTGAAAAAACCGAATCCCTAGGTATGCTTCGATCCCAGGATTACCCCTCTGTGGGACCTCGTGTAGGCCATTGCGCCACTGAGACCCTCGGTTTGCCTTTCTATCAGCCAGTCTTTTTTTACCATAACGATGCTAGCAGCACTCAACCATCAACGGGAATGATCTAGGCAGCGCAAGAATTATCATAGAAATTCAGTTTTTTTAGTTAGGGCTTCCATTTTTCGTGTAATATCGACTCTTAGTATCTTATTAATAAGTGTCTAAAACCCGTCACAAAATCTGTTGTACGTGAACAACTCCAGTTTTGGATCCCGTATTGAAGTCCGTTTCGCTCGAAAACCGAATATTTTCAGAAATGCCTGAAAATAACACGTGGCTGTAATAAAGCGAACAATAGATGGTAAAGAAGAAATAACGAATGGTTCAGAAGAGAATTTCCATACAAAAGTAACTCAAGTTAGAAAAAAAGGCAACGATTTTGTACTGCCTAAAAGCCTGTGAGGTACTGCAACAAAAGATTATGGATTCAGAAAGCTTTAAAAATCCACTTTAAATCTTTCTTTTGTTTTTCTAAATACACACCTATTCCTTCATCCCACTCTCACTTGAACTCCTTCACGACCTTAACTCTGGTCAGTTTTCACTGTAAATCCAGTGTTCTGCCTGAAAAATAAACGCTTAAAAACCCTTATGCTCAAAAATATTGCATGTTTCATCATTAGCACTTCTTTATTGATAGTTGCTATAGAGAGACAGTAATATTTCCCGACTCAATAACACGAATCCTAGAGCGATTAAACTCACTTCATAGATGTCTCCTAACACTCTTCCCTTAATTTTTGCTTATTTTATAAAATTGTCTCCTCAAAAAACTTATCCAAAAGTAGTCATTTTGCCTTCGTTTGTAAAAACAACCCAACAAAAAACACGAATTTAGAATTGTGTACGGATCAAAACCTTTCATAATCGATAAAACTCACTTAAATTTATTTTGGAAACATACATTGTCTATCAATAAATTTAGTGCCAATACTAAAAACAGGGCTCGTGAAGGAAATAGTCGATTTGCAAATCACTTCTTTCGTCTTCCACTTTATTTCTCATAAACGAGTCCAACGAGTCTCATCAGTTGCCAGTTTGTGACGTCACATCACATCGTCAAGTCATGAAGCTTAGCTAGTCTAAGAAATGGGCGTTATCTTATTCCATTCCACTTCAGTGGTTTACACGAAGCATGCTAGGTCGCTGCACCAGTAAAGTCGAATAATAAATTGGGAACGAAGAATGAAAACGTCAACAAGAATTGTAGAATTTCCTGATACCATGCTATTAAGTGAATGCAATGGTAAAAGAGAAAAAAATTTCATCACTACCTTTCTCAACGCTGTAATGTTAGTCTTTTTTTGGACGACCGTGGCGCAGTGGTTAGAGGTGCTCTATAATACATACATTCTCGCTGGTTCGATCTCGCATCCTGGGCTCACTAAGCCTTCCATTCCAGCGGCGTCGGAAGACCAGTGCCAAATTCGTCTGGGATTATACCAGCAATGACTTGTTACATCGGTAGGCCAGGTGGGGTGTGCATTTAGTCACCTCTAACCATGCTTGATAAAGTCGAATCCGTGGCGCATCCCTCGCCGATTGTTCAACAGTCAGAATGTTATTCTTTATCCTTTTGTATTATTCTTTTATATCTATTCAATTAGAAGATTATAATACTTACAAGAAGGTTTTAAAAGGCGACTGTAAAACTCACTTATGAAGCCATTTATTTCGGCAGTTCGTCCTACCCTTTTAAATTCTTCATAGATTCTTCTCATATAAAACAGCATTAGCAATAGAGTAGTTAATTCGTTCTAACAACCGTACTAGTTGATTCTGCAACTCATATGGAACAAAAATTCGAATGAATTCGTGCAAAAATAAAATTCCAAACTATTTCTACACATAACTCAGCCTTAGAGGCGTGTGTACCTCAGTGGTCGGAGACGCTCTGCAATAGACATTGTATCGATCTCCGTATCTCAAGCTCACCAACCCCTTCATACCTCCGGAGTCGGAAAAATAGTACCAGACTTGTCTGGGAGAATAGCAGCACCGGCTCGATACATCGGTAGGCCACAGCGAGTCATTGTAAAGGCCAGATATGCATTCGATCACCTCCAACGATGCTTAATGAAATCGAATGCATGGCGCATCCCTCAGAGATTGATCAACGCCGAAAGATTTATCCTTTTATTTTTTGCCTGGTTCTTTTCTCAGCAAAATTTATATTCATATGAGTGACGAAAATGGAGCACTGCCTTGATAATCAATTGATCTCTAAGGACGCAGACCACACTTATTTCCTTAAGTCAGTTCATTACTTGCTTGATCAATACCGATCATTTTCACTGGAACCTAAAAAGAATTTTCAAATGAGTAATACCAGTAGGATATTTACATCAAATTGTCATGACCGTGTTCTTGTTTTTCGAATGAGTTCTTGATACATAGAAACTAAGGGAAAGGCAGGTTCTTTTGTTTTTTTTTAAATAAATGAACCCGTTCTCGAAATCTTCAGGCGTGTCCGACTCGTAGGAATGGTGATCTTTTCAAGCTTTAATAGAAGGATCTCGTTTTACAATTCAAAACACTTCCAAGATTTTATCAAAAATAATCATTTTTACACGGATTAATTGTGGGATAGAATCCGTCACAGAAAGCCGATGAGCTCTTGATACAAAGATTCAATAAAATAATAAAAAATGCCAAGCCAGTGGTATCTAATTTGAAGACCATCTTACACAATGAGATTAATTGCCGTAACCCTCTGTAGTACCTAAGTCTTCCTTTAAAAAATCCTTTCTGGACGGGCGAGAGATAAAAGTATAAAAGGGTAAAGCTCTCGGCGTTGATCAATCCCTGAGTGATGCGCCATCCATTCGACTTCTTTAAGCATCGTTGGAAGCGATTGAATTCATACCTGGTTTTCACAATGACTCGTGGTGGTCTACCGATATATCGAGTCGGTGCTGCTGCTATCCTTTCTGACAAGTTTGGTACCAATTTACCGAAGGAAGAAAAAAATTTCTGAATTGTCTCCTTGAATGGAAAAGAGAGTTAATGAAACGACAACCTTTTTTACATGGAAATGTTTCCATTTTCCTATAATTTTACGTCATAAATTTTATAGCCTCTTTAGCGTAAGATAATAACCTGCATTAATATGATGTCACATACAAGTCGACTATTGATATAATTTAAGGTGACGACAATTCTATAACTTAAAATGAAGAAGAAAACGTACGAAAATGAGACTCGACATCTAATAAGTCCTACCAGTGTTTATGTAGATATTGATTGACGCCATTAATTATAGGGTATTCATGACAAACTAACAAAACGTGAACTTCAGTACGTATTTGGTGTTGAGGAAAGATCTCAGGTGGGAATGAGAAAATAAAATAAATATTATGTAAGTAATGTATGTTATGGTGCTCATATACAGGTTCCCGAATATCAACTGATAAAGACCGAAAAGTATCGTAAGGAAGATGGCGGACTGCGGATACGATTTTCAGCTTGGGATGATGAATTTGTTTTAGACTTAAAACCAAATCGTAAACTTATCAGTCCTCATATTGTAAGTGCTTTTAGGTTTTATTCGTGTAGCAATAATATTTTATAGATTCATAATCCTCAGCCATTACTTCTATAATCTAATGCTATATCGCATTACTTTATGTTCAGTGGAGTCAAATTTATGATGACGTACCTCTAAATCATTATTTCATATTAATTGCAATTACTCTTACGTAATTACGCTTAGTTATTCATAAACGTTCAAAACGCTTTGAACATACAAAGCATTATAAGGTGGCAATAACTCGAGATGGTACGGAGGTTACAGAACGAATGGGACTGAATATGGATCACAACTGCCATTTCCAGGTAACTCCTACCTTTTACATCTGTTTAGATTTTCTTTGGTTTCTAAGAAATGCATGAACAGGTTGTTAAGAACTACAACAAACGTTTTTCTGGCCCATTTTTAAAAAAATTTTTTAAAATAAAAATTCATATTTTTTAGAAAAAATTATTATTTGTTATAATTTTTTACACGGAACGCTCTTATTAGGTGAACTTAACGCGATGAGACGTATTTTAAAATTGTTAGCATTTTTTTAATTGGTCTTATGTTCAATGGTGAAATAAGCTGTATAAGTTCAACCTTTACTAAATTGCTGCAATGCTTTGGTTAGTAAAAAGTTCTTTTCGTCGACTTGACGAGAGTCTTTTACAGTACTCAGAACTTACAATGAACACTAAGGTGATGGTAAGTTCTGAATGAATAGCGAATTTTTTCTAATTCTAACAAGATATTCTTGAAGGCTAATTTACAAACCGAAACTCGAATATATTCCAACAAGTAAAAGTTCCGCTTATATTCGCCATTATTTCATGCTAATCTATCCAGGAATAAGTGCAAATGTCCATTTAAATGCGCGTTACTGATTTCACTACAGACTAAAAACTTTGAACGCTCCAAAGAATGCTTGAACACAGTCGAGTGATGAACAGCTACATTCAATAAAACTTAGACTGTGGTTTCTTTTATGTTTAACCCAACCTCGGATTTCTTTTTCTTTTTCAGGTAAAAAACAGTTATTAAACTTCCATGGACCGAAAAAAGTGGCCAAGTGACAAACAAATTGATTTCAGGGCACTATATCATCACATGGGATGCACCCAGTTGCGATATCCGATTGTCGAACTCTCATGGGTACTCTAGTAATGGATGATCATTTTCTTGTTCTACAAACTCTACCGCAACGAATTCGACATCATAACGTATCGTAAACGAGTTATATAGCATGCGATATCATTAAAAACGATCAGGATTTGTGCTACGAATTTGAACTTGTGCTATTTTTGTGCTTTTCTAGCCTGAGCAACATCTCGTCTTCAAACGTTCAGCGAGTTTGCTAACAACATTTGAGCAAAATATCGAAGAGGAAATTATACAGTTGAATGATATACAAGAATCATTTTGTGATACCAGTGAAAATATGGATGATCGCGCTACCGGTAAAGATTTTCGCAACTTTACTTTTCTTTTCTTCTTTTTCTTTTAAAATTGCTTTTGTTTTTGCGTATTGCTTGCGTACTACACCGCAGTCGCTGCGGTGGTGGTGGTCGCCGCCGCCGTTGTCGCCGTCAACGTCTCAACTGACGCATCTAACCTACAACTTTTTCATAGCGCTAGTTTCACTCTGACGGCGGCTGTTGTATAAAATTAACATCATCATCGTTGTCGTCTTCGCTATCGTCGATCCGACGATGACGCACCACAAAACCCGAATGAGTTGGTTGCAAATTGGCCAGCAAACGTCCGCCATCATCGCCATCCGTAAAACTGGTTATTGGCCGATAGGCAACTGTACATGACGTGCGACCAGTTTCAATTCGACAATCGGCTAGGTCATTCAGCTTAAGCAGTTTTCTTTCGCTTGATCGAAAGGAAATCTATATGCTTAAAGAAAGGGAGCAGAGGGAATGATTCTAACATGAGCACTAATACACTAGTATAATAAATTCCCTCTTAAGGTATGATAATTGCTCTTTGTGTTCTCACAATACTTTCCATTTCGATATAAAAGCGTTAGCATTCTTGCGAAGAATAATGCAATTCGTTTGAAACATCAGTCTCAGATTCAATCGAAGCGGAATTTTTCCGAAAGATCTACGAGGATCTACGTCTTAACTGAGGAATGACGTAGAATGACTAACACGAGAAAAATTCTATCCCCAGATTAAGTGAGAAAACTCTAACTCCAGATTTTAGACATAGCACCCTATCGTGGATTGTTTGCAATTTTTGATTCTTTTTTTCAATTACAAACACACATACTTACTTCCCAGCGTGCAGAGGATAAGTGGCACAATATTCTAGATATTCTCGAAAGTTGAGGGAAATGTTTCAACTATTTCAAAGTCAGAAACAAGAAAAAAGTCCAAACGATGAAAGCGATGAAAAAGCGACCGGCATACAACTACGTGATCGACCAAAGTCTTCTCTGTGTACTACAACAACGGAAAGGATAGGGAGAAAGAAAGAAATAGCCGTTTCGCTCCCCGATATCACGTTTGTTAACGTAAACGAACAAGAAGCACGAGAAGAACCGTCTAAATCGACATCTGAGCTTAAATGTCAAAATATAAGACTGAAATTTGGAATTAATGAAAAAGATCAGGAGTTCCGTAGAATAGCTAAGGTCGAAAATAATGAGGAATTCGAAAATGCAAATGCTGTGATTAGACCAACTGTAACTAAAAAGAGAAAACCTGAACTCAAATGGAAAACCACAGAAACAAAAGAGCAGGAGTCGTAGTCCCGTGGCACAGATAAAGTGCCAAAATAACTTTCCGAGACTACTGAGGATGTTACGGATGAGATCGAATGTGAATTACAAGAAAATTCTTGAGTCGCCAAGATTATTTGCAAGGCCGGTATAACCAAGGCCGATAGTATGGGTAAGATCTAGGACTTAACAGCGTTGAGAATACTTATCATTCGAATTTAAGAATTAGATCTGGTAAATCGTAAATTGACGGTGCAAATGAGGCGCATGAAAAACATCTGTCGGAAGAAGAAAGGAACTTAGAAGAACTCACTTAACTTGCAACGTTTTACTAAAAGACTGAAAGGCCTTGAGAAGAGTGGCTAGAAACCGACGGGTCAACAAGAAGCGATCACTGTTCGTGATTTGGAAATGATGAAACGAAATCAACTACTCGAACACAGTATATGTAACGTTGAAGGAATAATGCTGTGTAATTTCTTCAAAGCTGTTAAAGCAAAGACGACTCAAGAAATTGTAATGGTAATCGATAAGGTATCGTTGCGATCGACATATTACTAATGTGGCCGGATAAATTCGACGACTTTGTGGATCATGAACTTCGAGTATTTCTCCACTACACGCAAAAGGCGAAGCGTATTCTGCTCGATGTGATGCTTCTTCATCTTGAGCATGTACTACGAACATGAGGCAGTAATGTTTTTGGCGAAAGGTCAGTATGAAGGACGACTGGCAGCAATGGGAAAACGGCAAATCGCTGAGGTTTCCGATAGCAAGACAAACGTGAAAAGGAAAAGCCTTGACAGAAAGTAGCGGCTCTCAATGCTAAGCCGTTCGCCAGAACAAGAGCCGAGTCCAAAGGTGTCCAACAAGAGTCGCTGAAAACTCTGACATCTTTCCAGGACAGGGAACAATGAGTTATACTAGTAGAGATCTTATCAGTAATAAATTTCATTGTTTCGACACTGGTTTTAAAACAACTGCCTCTGTGTAAAGTAAGCAACAAGTAATATCAGAAAACAGCGAAACTGTGACGATTTCTTGATTCGTTTCGTTGTTTCAAATAAAAAGGAATACTTGTGGTGATGCTTATTTCAATAAACCGCTTAAACGGAAATGAAACCATGTCACAGCAATTTCTTTATGGCTATTATACGGTTTGTATTACCTAATCTCGAGTACACGTAATAGAGGTGTGTGATGAAGTTCACAGCACCTGGATAGATCCATATTTACCTCGCCACAAGCACGTCCATTTCCATTCACCATTTCAGGATTATTCCACTCTTAGCTGACTGATCCACAAATGACAAAGTTGTGACCCATCTAAATGACTAGTGCTTACTGTTGTACACCAATTAATCGGATTTTTTCGGGCAAACATGAAAAGTTGCCGCGAATAAAAAGAGGACAAAGCTCGAGGTGTTGACCAATCCCTGAGGAATGCGCCACACATTCGACTTCATTAAGTATCGTTAAAGGTGATTGAATGCATATCTGGCCTTTTCAATGACTCGCGGTAGCTTACCGATGTATCGATCCAGTACTGATACCAGACAAGTCTGGTACCAATTTGCCGACACCGGCGGGATAGGATTGGTGAGCCTGCGACGCGATCCATTCCATGTGTATGGCCGGGCGCCTCCAACCACTGCGCCACACGTACCTTATTCATCAGATTTTTCAATACCAATAAAAGAAAATCGTAAACGCTGTTCAGGTGAAATTCGTTCTTTGAATTATTCGATACCTTCATCGGCAAAACTCGATTCACTGTTTGTTTTTCCAAACATGGATCCAATTACACTGGAAATTGGGTTATTTCTTGATTCTAAACTGTTTGAACACTTTCAAAGGTATGTTTTCGATTTTCGAAGTCTTTACGACAATCAGTATCTTTCTAGGTATGTGTAGTTTTAGAGAGTATATTCAAGATGCTGAGCAACATTTGTTGGATTTTTCATTGGCTTTGATTAATAATGTGCACGTATTGTATCAGCAACCTTCTCTTTCACCGAATTTGGAAATCGTTATCGTCCGATACGAAATGTGGAAATCACAACCGGTGAGCTCACCATAGTATGATAGAGAATGAAAGTTTTGTATACCCAAGACCGGCATCTTGTCATCCTCGAGATTGATCTAATAATTCACTGCTTTTTTTGGTGAGCAGGCACGTGCTAACTAAGAAAAAGAATTGTTAGGTACAATCACTGGTTGGCGTTTCGGCGGTTTCGGATTTTTCAGGTTCTGAAAACGCCAGATTGACATGCAATTCACTCAGTCAAACGCTTTCATAAACTAAGCAGAAAAAACTTCATGCATAGTTTTTTGTTCTTATAGCAAACGGTCTCTCTTGAACGTCCACCGTTTTGTTCTTTTTAACTTCGCCAATTATTTAGTGTAGAGTAGTTGCACAGAGTCTTACAGTGGTCAGGAATGTACCTGGCTCAGGTCACAAAGAATAGCCTGAGACATGGCACCATGCGTGATCACAAATCACTCCACCTTGCGGCTCATTTTTGGATTTTTCGAATTTGTCCAAAACGCTTCAAAACTCGTTCGCGTAGAAGTTTTAGATTCTTGTGCCAGGATACTTACTTTTACTTGAAAGCTTCTCTGTAATCACTTTGTGCATAATGCGTGCCTCGTGGAGCGCTTTGTTTAAACATAAGTTTTCCAACTAAATGCCCCTATTTGTGGGCGCAAAGTGGTCAATCCGTCTCGTGAATATATTTTTCCCCACACACTTCACAAGATATCACATGCACCGTACCCAAACTCCATACAATCATCCTACTCTACCGTTAGGACAAATTGCACAATTTTGTTGGGCAGGTTAACACGAGCATTCAACGACGGAAGCCAGTCTTTCCTCGCTTTCTGTATTTGTCTATCTCTTTCTGTGTCATTATCTTGGGTACGGTGTACCTAATCTCTTGTAAAGCATCCAGAAAAAAATGCATTAGCAAGACGTGTAGGCCACTTTGCGTCCGTATAAAATAGTACCTCATTAAAAAACTTAAAGTCAAACAAAATTCTCTATTAGTTACGCATAGGACACAAAGACATAACGGAGGAGATCTTAAAGTAAAAGTCAGTATCCTCGCACATGAATCTAAAACTTCATCGTGCCAAACTCTTGAAGATTTTTGCATAAATTCCGGAAAACCAAGGGTGACCCGCAAGAGGGTGTGCCTTGTCGCTACGTGTGACCTCGCGCCATAACTCAGAGTGGTTGTTCGTGACCTAAGCCAGACTCATTCATAACCCATGTAATACTCTGTGCGCCTGATCTCCAACAGTTAACCAGGAGGTTTCTAAAGAACAAAACGGTGAGTGTTTGAGAAAAGCTGCTTACTGTGCGAAAAAATTTGTATATCAAGTTCTTTCTGCTAAGGATATGATAAAGTTTGAGTGACTAAATTCCATCTCAATCTGAGCTTCCTAGGTTCTGAAGAAGGTGAAACCGCCGAAACGTCGGCCAGTGTTGTACTCAGTAAATCATGTTAACAACTTCGTGACTGCTCATCAGGAAAACATTGAGTATTGAGGGCAGTTAAATATTACAGAGTAATATGGCGACTTTCGTTCATAAAAATGGTCAAGCACAAAGTTTACTGGACGCATTCTGTCGTTATCAAGCACATATCAATCCGGGTACCGATCTAACCGATATGGGACACTGGGATCACGGAGTATTGTTAACCGGGTACGTGTTGTATACATTTTTTCAAATAATGGTAGCATTTGCATGTTAGTGAATAGCGTTCAACATTGTTTAGCCTTTTGTCTTTCATTCTTCGTTATTCGTTCCATCACTACTTTTTCTTCATCACTTGATCAAATACCAGCCGTTGTTCCATTGATGCTGAGGGTAGGAAAAGGATAAATGCGTTCCTATGTGCTGTTAGTGTATTCAGCAGTCAGCGACGGTAGTCAACAATAGTCGTTACTACCATCTATCACTTTCAGTTCATCCATTTTCATTTAGTTCTGTGAGCTATGTATTTTATTCCTTAATATGAACACAAATTTTTTTGTGACCACCGAAGACTGTGTTGCTCATTGATAGGTTACTTAAGACGTTTTTTGATTGCAGAGATCACAATGTTATTAACGTTAACGTTTAAATATCACTGTTGATGCGTACCTCCTCGTAACTGTCTTGAAGGAAAAGTTTTCCTGAATAGCTGCCAGAAATTTAAACTTATTGTTTTCTGCCTACTCTTTTTCTAACGGCAGGGTATATTTCGAAATATAACTTCAATGATGCTGAGATATTTGCAAAACTCCGGACCGCAGCTGTATGCGGTGGGGAACGAACGCGCTATTGTCCTTCCCGGAGAGTAACGCGTTCACCACCACCACACCATGCGGGTCCTCCGTTTCGCCCGTCTCTCAGCTAGTTGCCTAACTTCTGTTACCCTGCCGTTAAAAAAAGAGTAGGTACTAAATAATAAGTTAAAATTGTGATTATAACTGCAGCCTCAGCTTAACTGGGTTCAATGCCGATTTGAGCTCCCCAGATCAATCCCGTTGACTGGTGATTGCTGATGGCAAAAGATCAATAGAACTAGCTGAGAGACAGGCAGAACGAAGGACCCGGATGGTGTGGTGGTGAAGTGCGTCACTCCCCGGAAAGGACAATAGCGCGCGTTCGTTTCCCACTGCATACACCTGCTGTCCGGAGTTTTGCAAATATCTCAGCATCATATACGATTTATATTCCACAACATACCCTGCCATTAGAAAGAAAAAGACAGTGAATAAAAGGGTTAGGATTATCTCAGCACCATTGAAGTTGCCAGAAACTTGTTGAAGTAAAGTGGAATGTTTTCGTTGTAAATGATTTCAAAGGTTACACATATTTCGTAAAATTTGATGTGTATATTAGAAGATGAAAAGGGGCGCGTGTGTCGCATTGGTCGGAGGCGCCGCTGCGACACACACGTGGAATCGATCCCTGCTCCCATGGCCCACCAAGCCTTCCCTCCTTCCGCAATCGGCAAGTTGGTACCAGACTTGTCCGGGTGAATAGCAGTACCGACTCGATATATCGGTAGATCAGCACGAGTCATTGTGAATGCCAGGTATGCATTCAACCACCTCCAACGATACTTAGTGATGTCGAATGCATGGCGCATCCCTCAGGGATTGATCAACGCCGAGAGCTTTGTCCTTTATCCTTATTTATTAGAAGATTACGCTTCTTATGATTGTTATTGACCTTACTAAAATTATTATGTAAAGCGACCGCATGTAGAACAGTGGTCGAAGGTGCCATGCAATACAGGCGGTATCGATCCCCGCGCCCTGGCCCACCAAGCCCTCCATGCTTCTGGGTTCGGCAAGCTGGTACCAATTTGTTTGAGAGGATAGCAGCGTTGGCTCGATACATCGATAAACCACTGTGAGTTATTAATGTAAGTGCCATACATGCATTCAATCATCTCCAGCAATGCTTAATGAGGTCGAAGAGGTGGCGAATCCCTCAGGGATTGATCAATGCCGAGTGCTTTATCCTTCTATCCTTTTATTAGAAAATTGATGCGCTGAATGTCAATTAAGACGAAAGTATAGTTGACGTTTTCTTAAGATGTTTTTAGCATGGTTGATGGTGGGTGGACCGGGAATTAACAATGTAGCCAACCAGCTTTGTTCCTGCCTTTAACACGATGGGATCATACGCTTTGCATGTATTCATAAACCGACTTTCCTTGTTTAAGTTCTAGAAGATCCAATGTGAAACAAGATTTCCGTGCAAGAGATCTTCGTCAAACGCTTTTCTTTTCAGATATGATATCTACCATACCACTGCATCCGTTGCTGGTGTGGCACCAGTAGCAAGAATGTGTGATCAGTTATTCGCATGCTCATTAGTTGAAGGCCTTCATCTCGGGCGCTCGTTTGTTCTCGCTCACGAAATGGGACACAAGTGAATATTCGGGTCGTGATCGAGTGAATATCATTGATAGTTTCATATTTAGTATGGGAATGGTACATGATGGTGTACAGAATCAATGTAGCAAATCCTGTTGCCTCATGTCTGCTGTGAACGGTGCTGGTAAAACAACATGGTCTGAATGTTCAGTGAGAGAGTTCAATTCATTCCTATTACAACTGGAGTGAGTTTCTACAGTAAAATTGTTGAACATTGAAAACTACGAAGCTACTCCATTCTTACGAACAGCTATATTACAGTGAATCTGGCCGGGGTAACTGCTTACGCGATGGTTCACCAGGATTGCCAGATCGTAATCATCTACATGATGGACGGTAAAGACTAATTTAATTCCATCTTTAATTCACCAACATTCGAATTTACTAGGATGCTAAATGGAGTGGAAGGATGGATAAAACCTGTAGAAACTTGCGCAGTAATATTGCATTCTTATTTCGCTTTTTTTCCTTTTTCATCCATATTTTGATCAACTTGTCCATGATCGATTCATCTAATCTATATTATATGTGATAAATTTTACATTATTTCTAGTATACCTTAGCTTTCTATTGTTTTTCGAGTGATTCCACACGGTTAAAGCCGAGATTGTTTTGGAAACCTCGTAGTTTATTATATATCAGTTGCAGAAGAAGATTACTTATTTTCTATAGTTCTTCCACCGTATGACTTCTACTTAGGTCTCCTGGTCAACGATTCACAGCTGATCAACAATGCGCTTATTTTTGGGGTCGTGACTACCAAGTAGAAATTCCAAGTGGGCGCTCTATAGAGGTACACTTACGATACCTTAAGATTATTTAGAACGCATTCAAACTAACTTCGCAAAATTGTCATTTTTTCATGATTTTCATTATTTCTATCCTGATATCCTACGGATCTCGCCTTCGTATCGAGCTAGTTAGTAATGAACTTGGTTGTTGCGAAGACCTAGGATCGCACTTGAACTGTTAAACTGAATCTACTGGCCGGGAATTTCACAAGAAGCGGTTGGGAGAAATCTCCAACAAAGCACACCAACTTTGGGAAGTTATGGCAGGTTGTCCATAAGAATAGGAAGCGTCCAAGTAGAAAGCTCTCATTATTGCGTTACCCTATTGCGGTAAACAGTACGAATAAAGTGACTTACGAAAAAGAGTATGCTTCATTGTGTCCGTAGAGGGTACTGAGCTCACTGAACTGTATTCTGGTAAATGACAGAGACTAGTGGAATTTAGTGGTGCCTTCTTAAAAGACTCGGTGACAAGCGGGCGGAGTCACTGATCATGCTGGTATTCGTATTAACGACTGTGATGTTTTGTTTTCTGCGCTTTTTAAGATTTACATTTTTTTTAATGCTGCATTTAGTTATTGCTGTACCGCTGACGTCTGTGCTATAAGAAACTTCTTTAATAATTGTCAACCACTTAAATTTTTGGAGTTCTAATGGAGAATTATATTATACTGCAGTTACATTTTACAGGATATTTGTCGTATTTTATGGTGCGGTAATGGAGGGTCAACAATTTCCACTGCTCATCCAGCCTTAGAAGGAAGTTACTGTGGTCACGGAAAGGTGCGAAGTTATTTAATTCTTTTTTACCGTTAACACAACACTAACAATAGTGTGATTTCTAAATTAGAATGTGAATGAATGCAAAACATCAAGAGGTTTGGTTTTGCAACATACTGTTCATGGCGCGTATAGCGCAGTGGTCGGAGGCGCTGTGCAATATACATGGGAACGATCCCATCGCCTCAGACTCACCAAACCTTCCATCCTTCCGGAGTCGGCAAATTGGTACCAGACTTGTCTGGGAGGATAGCAGCAATAACTCGATACATCTCTAGGCCATCGTGAGTCGGTGTATAGGCCAGATATGAATTCATTCATCTCCAAAGATGTTTAATGAAGTCGAATACATGGCGCATACCTCAGGAGTTGATCAACGCATAGAGTTTTTAGAGATTTTTACATATTATTCTCATCAGTTTCAATATAGTAAGTTTGTCGCACATAAAAGAAGGAGAGCGGAAAAAGCAGGGCAGGTATGTTGAAGGCCTACTTGAATATTATTATCGCGTAGTGTTTCAGTGGTGTCACGAAGGGAAATGCCAACCGTGGATGTCTCCAGGACCGTCACCTTCAGTAGTGCATGGAGGTTGGTCTAGATGGAGTCACGCCGGTGATCGATGTCCTATACAGCATTGTCAAGTCACCGGCAGTATATCCATTAAACCTCAACATCGTGATTGCGTTAATCCGGCGTAAGTAACACTATTTATTCTACCGATGACCTAACACGGAGTGACAAATCTGCATAACCGAGCTGTCTCCATCCACTGTCTTCCAGTTCTCTATTTTGAGATACTTAGCTTCTATACTATACTTTCATGATGACACTTAGGTAGTTTTTATGGCGACTATAATCATGTCATGTCTTTTAATTACCAAGAATACTTACCTATATGCTTACTTGAATCACTTATCTTGGCGAAGAATGGTAGAGCACGTAGAACACTTCCGTTTTAACATCTTAGCATGTTGTTGTTGTTTTGGTAAGGGTTTTTTAGGAGCCCAAAAAATCTCATGCTGAGCCATCGCTAAAGAAACGCGTTAGCCCATTTAGGTCGTAGAGAATACACAGCAGTGATGGTGCAAATACATTACTGGGATGTGGCAGTAAACTGTTAGTTATGCAGATATTAGTTACTCTGTATACAGGGCGTAAGTGTTGCGAATAAAACGAACTTATGATTTAAACTTTTCCGACCCTGTTCGTTTACGACTACCATTGTTACTCTTTTTTCAAACAATCAAAATTAAACTTTGAGGGTAACAATGAAAATGTGTAATGTTCAGACCGAATAATGGTGGACGTCATTGCCAGGGAGCATCTATTCGAGGAATTCTCTGCTCGACACATTATAATCCTTGTCAAGATGGTTATTCTACTACGAACATATCATACTGTGTTTAAGACCTCGAAAAAGAGAACTTTTTCCAGGCTATTCACGTGAAGAATACAGTAACCATATGTGCTCATCCATAAAACACGATCCAATCAAGCCTGATCGGCAGCTCACCGGCGATGGCTTTGAGCGTAGGTTCACCACATGCTTTATTTCACTCCAACCATGCTTTTTTCTACTAATTTTTCTTTCCACTTAAATTGTGTTGGTGGGTACGTTGTGAAGCCTGTCACACTTTATTCGATAAATGAGTGTTTCCTACGAAAGTTATATTGTTATCATACTATATACGGTTTTAAAATCTCCTTAGTAGGGTTTTGATATTTTCTGAGGTTATGCGGAAAAAAATAAGGGCAAAGCAGGATCTCTATTAGTTTGTGGGACGTTTTGAAAGAGTTGAGAAGAGTCCTATAACAAAATATTGGTGGCTTAGGCATAGACATATACCAATATGCTAGCTACCCTTCACAGCTATCCGCACCGTATTGAGACTATATCACTTTGTCTTGCATCCTCAGACTCTAGTACCAGTATAAGAAGAAAATAATTGCCATCAATGTCATCATCAGCTGGATCGTCACCAAGTTCTGTCGTCAAAGAGAATGAACTAGACATGTTCTACGATTAGCTAATGGAATATGTGCGTGATGTTTTTCTATATTTTGGCTTCCTGAAATGCATCATAGTGTCTAGAATGGCGCAGCAAAACTCAAGCGGAAACTGTTTCTTACGTTTATGTCAACAGAACCCCTTTTCGTTGAAATTCATCAATTGGAAAGAAAGAAAAAAAAAGTTCCCATGACCGACTTTCTGTTAACCTCGGCATTAATTGATAATTCAATGTTTTTCATCAATAAGCAGACACGAGGT